ATCATGAACAAGGCCGGCCATCATCATATCAAAAAGACAGACAGGCGTGTCGTAGGCGTGCAAACATGTCTATGAACTAACATTGCGATGCACAGTCAGTCATTAGTACAGTTGCTTTCTATTGAAGCCAGATATTTGATATCAAGACTTCGGGATGCCTTTCCACAGCCTGCACGTGTATACTTATTCCAGGTCAACGTCAAGAACCTCCCTCACCTGGTGTTCGGATGGGCTTGTATTTACCAGGGAAACAGATCGGCAGACGGGATCTCGCAATGTGCGTTGTCCCCATCGTAGAAACTTCGCCATCTCACATCACAAAGATAGATGGAGGGCACAGAAATACAACACACACACACAAGCATCCATTCGTCCATCTTTCGTGCACAGTTTCCAATTTCCGCCTAACTACGTCCTCAAGAAGCTAATAACCACCATCTCCACCTCATCCCGCGACAATAACACTATCGATCGGATCTCCAGACGCCAACCATCCATCCCATGGCAGGATCTCCAAATCGTTCGTCATCCCATGAGCTCGCAGACCACCTCAGCAGTCCCATCTTTCCCGAAAAACAAGAGACGGCACCGTCATGCGGACTTCACGTATCCATAAAAAAACATACAAGACAGATACACACAGCACCGCCGCCGCGAGGCACCAGGCCCGAGAGATTAGACAATAGCCAGAAAAGGCGTACTTGTAGTTCGCCTTACATCCACACTCAGACTCACATCCTCATCTGCCCACACCACCCCCAATACGCAACACATAACACGTACACACACACACACACGAGAGATAGAGAGGGAGAAAAGTTGAATATGTGCAATAAAAAAACTGAACATTACCAATTCAAAGAGTTATGGTAGAAGAAAGGGTGTTGGGTTCCAGAACGTGGAGTTTAACTCGTCCAACAGGTATGGTCAAAACTCCAACACGAAAAAGGGGGAGGGGAAGTGTAACGGTCGTCGCCCATTAAACAACAACAAGAACGTCTCCAACCAAGATTAACAAAAACGCCACCGCCTCTCGTTTCGTGTCCCTTTTTTCCCTTATAGTCATTTCAGTGTCATTTTAGGGGAGTTGGAACAAATAAACAAAAGCCCTGTTATCCATAAACATGGAAATAACCAAAGCAAAAAAGCCCGGAAAGACAGGACCCCGTAGACGCCAGTTCGTTACGTCAATGCTCTTCGTCTTCTTCCTCTGCTTCTTCTCTCCTTGCTTTCCCCTCATCATCTTCACTCCACTCAGACAGTTGCTGTCTTTCACTCTCCATCCGCCACTGTAATGCTTTGTTCCGTTCATCGTTTGGTTTCGTTCGTTTCGTGGGTAAATTTAGAAATTAAGAAAAGAAAATAGAAGAAAAGGTAGGTATGGTATTACCAACCAATTCCAAAAGGAGGCCGTTTGTTCATCAAGACGACTGGGTCTTCTAGTCCCCGCGTCCGCGATAGTTACCCATTTTCTCGATCGAGCTCATGATGCCGCTCCGGGGCCCGAACTCACTCATCGGCCTGGGTCTCGGAAGGCCCTTGGTGGCGGGACCAGCGCTACCGTTACGCTCGTGAAGGGAGCCACGCGCGGCAATGGATCCGGGCGCCTTAAGGCCCGAGCTGCGGCCGATGCTGCTGCGGAAGTTGTTCTCCGTGTGGCTTCTAACCGGGGGACCGGGTGTCCGCGAGGCAACGGGTGTCGGCGCGGGCTTGGGCGCCGGGGTTGGCGGCGGAGGCGCGGCGTTCTGGATCGCCATCATCTCTTCGGCGAGCTGAACCAGCTCACCCTTCTCGACGCGCTCCTGGGCGAGGAGGTCGCGAAGCTCCGAGTTGTCTCTCTTGACCGACATGACGACGGCCTCAAGCCTGTGGACGTCGGCGCTGAGCTCCTTGATGTGGGCCGAGTCGCGGACGGCTTGGGCCTTGAACTCCTCTTCGGCGGCGACCTGAGCGGGATCGACGCGAGTGATGGTGCTGTCTCGGCGGATCTTGTCGTTCTCCTCGGTGAGCTCCTCAATCTTGACCTCCAGCTCGCGCACCTTCTTCTCCCAGCGGGTCTCGTAGCTCTTCTTGAGCGCCGCAACCTTGGTCTCGTGCTTGCCCTTGTAGAGAGCGTGCAGCTCGCGGGCCACGCGCTCCACCGCAATCTCAACCTCCTTGGAGGTCGCGGCCGCACCGCCCCTGGGCGAGGAGGGCTTGTCGTCAGTGGACTTGCCGGCGCGGAAACTCGCCAGCTTACTCTCGGCCTCCTGAGCCATAGTCTCGGCGGCCTCGCGTCGTCCCTCACTCTCTGCAAGCTTGGATTCGAGCTCCTCGCGCTCCTGCTGCGTGTGGACAATTTCCTCCTTTACGCTCCGGAGGACCTTTTCCATCTCGCGACTGCTCTTCTCCCACATCTCCTTCTCTTCGGCGACCTGCTCTCGCATCGTCCGCTCTTCACGGGCCTGCTCCAAGCTCTCGCCGACTCGTTTTTCCGCATCGCCTACAGCCGTCTTCAGAGAGGTCACCTCCGCCTCCTTACCCAATAGCGATGCTTTGAGGCTGCTGATTTCGGACAGGAAATTCGACTTTAGACTTTCGAGTTCTCTGGGTGTAATGGTCGGGATGCTGCGGGGAGTAGGCAGGGCGGGAATGTCAAAGTCGAGGAGGTTCGACATTTGGCGGGCCGGAGTGGCATTAGGGTTTGCTCTGGAGGGTGAGGTGTTGCCTCGCCTGGACGGCGATTTGTGCGGGAATCGCTGGCTGGCCGTGAATTCCAATAGATTGGTAGTGTTGCCATCAGAGTCCTGTCCCGAATGCCGCCTTGGAGTCTCCTGCTGCTCGTGCACGGTCTCTGGCCTCCCTCGCGGGGTCATACCGCTGACGCTCGCGTACTTTGTGGGAGACTGACCCAGTTTCGCGAACATGGTCAGATTGGGAACGGCAGAGAAGGTGCTGAATGCACTCATCATCGACTCGTCGGGATTGGCGAGACTGCTCTGGTCCTCGTAGCCCGCGTGTCCCAAGTCGGGGTGGTCTCCGTCACCCTCGCCCGCGCTCATAGTGGTCGTGTCGCCGCCAATGGTCTCGTCATTCTCCAGCTCCGTATCATCGTCCTCGAATATCTGAATAGCGTGCTTCAAGCCCTCGTTGTCGCGCATGGCGTCTTCAAGACTGATTGTGCGTTCGCGAGGCGGAGGAGATACGGTCGGAGGAGAGATGGAGCGTGACGCGGGCTCGACTGACGGGTTGCTGACTCTGATAGGGAAGCGTTTGACGCCGTCAGGCGAGATTACTGTCTTGCGAAGCGGGCTCCGCGCTTGCTTTTCCGTTGTCTCGGAGCCGGCGAGTAGCTTGAGCGGTGAGGGTGCGGTGCCAGACATGACGCGTGAGTGGCGCTGCGGCTTGATTGCCGTCGCCGGCGCAGAGGGCGGCGGCGACGGCGAGGAATCCGAGGGAGAAGGTGGCATGTTCTCCTGGTCTCGGGCGTTGTCGTCTACGGAGTTCGAAGAGGTGATTGTGGTGTTGGTTGTGGTTGTGGTGGTGGAGGAGCTGTCGCTGCCGCTCTCATTACCGCCGCTCGTGGTTGTCTCAGTGCGGGAGTGGACCACTTCGCAGTGCTCAAAGAAACCGCGGCTTGTTGCCTCTTCAGTCAGGGTTGTTGCAGTGTTCAGTCTTGATTCGTTTGTCGGTGACAACGGCGTCATTGTGCGCGAACTCCAAAAAAGCTAGAAGAGGTTACGTTTGGTTTGCAAGTGTTGGAAGCGCGAAAACTAAGGTGAGGTAAATCGTCAATTGATTGATATTTCGATAGGATGTCTAGCAAAACCCCATTTTGGGCTCGCTTGTGAGATGAAGGGGGTGCGAAGGGGCCCAGGCTTGTTTGCTGTTGACAGAGCAACGACTACCGAGAGAATGCACAGACAAAGGGGGTTGGTGGGGCTCAGGGTCGCTACAGCAAATTCGCACACCGAGGCTCTTCACCGACGTCACCGATAGCGCGGAAGGTGAGGTTGGCCTCTATTCTCGAATCGCCTTCTCTCAAAGACTCACGCAGGTTATTGAGGTGAAGCTTGTAGCAACTCCAAGGATCCTAATATAACACCCAAAATCGATTCAGCTATGACCCTCTCCAGCTAGACCTCATAAGTTGCAGCGACCTAGCTCCGACATTTCACGTCAGGCTTTCAGAGTTTCGGAAGGGCACTGCCTGTGCGATGCAGGAAACTGGTCAAATGGGACGCATGTGAAAGTGCAGCAGTACAGCGACGGTCTAGATAAAATTAATTAACTGGGCAAGATAGACAACAACATTTATACGTGTAAACCCGTTCCTTCAGATCTCAGCAAGGGTAGTGCTCGTCTTGCGCGACTGAACGCGCCGCTAGCTAGAGCACAGTGACCACGTCATTTCTCACCACGAATTGAAAAAGGGGAAATTGATTTCTTCCGTGCAGCAAACTCCCGGGCACATCTAGTTGACCAGAATCTACTGTTACCGAGCGTGCTCGAACTTGACCGAGCATCGGAGGCTGTACTTCTGAAGTCCTGACCGTGGACTCAACATCGCCATGAAACTTGCGGCCGCACGCAACACCACACCGCCGCTGCATTGTCAGCAAATTGTCCCAAAGTCAAAAACACTACCGCGGGCGTGGGGGTGCCAATTTGGTCCCGGTCCAGCAGCAGTTAGCGCAATCTGTGTAAAGTATCAACGGGCCTAACGAGTCAGTCTTGGGTCCCTGCATAACCCGACATCTCCGGGAACAGGCACAGACATTTGCACAATCACCAATTGACGTAAAAAAGACGAGATGATTGAAACATTGTGTTCATGGACAGCAAAAGAAATGGTATTGAAGGATCCCAAAAGTCAAGATGCAAACTTTTGAACCAGGCCCAGATCCCCTAGAATCCGGTCATATAAAGTACAAAAGTCCCCCGTCCCCGGCACAGTGGTTAAGAAATGGCCATTCCGAGTAAAATTTTTATCTTCTCCCAAAGCAAAAACGCCGAACCGCTTACTTCTGGTTCTCGGGACGCAGAGAGCTGTAGAAAAGATAGATGTTAGCCAGTGATCATCAATGTGTATAAAATCGAGTGTTGTCAAAACGTACCGGACGGCTCTGCCGGCTCTCCAGATCTCAAGGTTGCGGATCTCCTCCATCTCAGCCTCGAACTTCTGGCGGTAGTCCTTCTGGGAGTTGTACTCCAGGGAGCGCTTGGTCTCGGAGCCATCCTTGACGGCGTCGTACAGGCTGTTGAAGACGGGCTTGAGGGCGTCCTTGAACTTGGGGGACCAGTCGATGGCACCGCGGCGGGCGGTGGTGGAGCAGGCCTCGTACATCCAGTCCATGCCGTTGGCACCGATCAGGGGGTACAGGGACTGGGTGGCCTCCTCGACGGTCTCGTTGAAAGCCTCGGAGGGGGAGTGGCCGCGCTCACGGAGAACCTCGTACTGGGCGAGGAACATGCCGTGGATACCTCCCATGAGGCAGCCACGCTCACCGTACAGGTCGGAGTAGACCTCCTTCTCGAAGGTGGTCTCGTAGAGGTAGCCGGAGCCGATGGCGACACCGAGAGCCTGGGCCTTCTCCTTGGCCTTGCCAGTGACGTCCTGGAAGACGGCGAAGGAAGAGTTGATACCACGGCCCTCACGGAAGAGGGAGCGGACGGTGCGGCCAGAGCCCTTGGGGGCGACGAGGATGACGTCAATGTCCTTGGGGACGTCGACGTGGGTGACGTCCTTGAAGACGGGGGAGAAGCCGTGGGAGAAGTAGAGGGTCTGTATTCAATGTCAGCTTTGAGGCCCCAATTGAGCTGTTTGCTCAATTGTGTGAGAAATGACGCACCTTGCCCTTGACGAGCTGGGGCTTGATGGCGGGCCAGGTCTCGGACTGGGCGGCGTCGGAGAGAAGGTTCATGACGATGGTACCGCGGGAGATGGCCTCATCGACATCGAAGAGGTTCTTGCCGGGAACCCAGCCGTCCTGCTGGGCGTCCTTCCAGGACTGGCCGTTCTTGCGGACACCGACGATGACGTTGAGGCCGTTGTCACGGAGGTTAAGACCCTGGCCGTGACCCTGGGAGCCGTAGCCGATGAGGGCGAGGGTGTCGTCCTTGAAGTACTCCTACAAACGATTGTCAGTTCCAATTGACTCCCTTCCGAGCCCTCATGATTGTTTGTGACTCACAAGAAGCTTCTCCTGGGGCCAGTCGGCACGCTCTGTAGCATCAACGTCAGCAAATCTCTCCCTCTGACTTCCCTGGCGAGTCATTCGCAACGAGGCAAAAAGACTCGTCAGCTCTGGTCGGTTTCCTTACCGTAGACGTCCTCCTTGTGGCCGGCGAAGTCCATGGTCTTGACACCGCGAGCCTGCTGCTGAGCAGGAGCGACGAAAGCCTTGTTGACCTGGGCAGAGGCGCGGACGAGCTGGCGGGCAGCAACGAAGGTGCGCTGCTGAGTAGCAGGCTTGGCCGCCAATTGGCGGGCCATTGGCGAACGAAGCGCCTTGGAGAAGCTGCGGGAGGCCATTCTGACTGTGTGTTGGGGGAGGAGGGAGTGGAGAGGGTATCCGTACAAGTCAATTGTAAGGAAGAAGAAGGAAGTGATGGATGAAGAAAACAGAGTTTCACTGATGAGAAAAAGGCGTTTGGAATTGGGAAATTTTTTACTGGCGTAGAGACGGGCGAGCTGACCCCCGACTTCGGCCCAGCTTGGTCGTTGGTGGGTTAGCCTGCTGCGTCGTCCTGCTGCTGGCCTGTGCCAATGGTGGGGAAGATGTCTGGAAGCGTCCGGGGTTCGGTAGGGGGTCCTCCAAGTGGGAGAGCGGGTACTGGGGACTTTGGAGAAGGCAGGGACTTTGCTGGACCAGGCGGGTAACCTCTACTTGGTCCGGTTCTCATTTGGCAGCGGCCTTACCTAAGAACCTCGGGGAGCAATCAACGTTATTGCCGGCGAGGCGGGTGCTGTGGAGCAGGGGAGAGCCCACCACACCGACATCGTAGCCCAGTGGCCAGACAGGAGTCACACCAGATGGGCCGCAGGCGGGATCTCACCGACTACTGGGCGCCGGCTACGGCCATTGACCTATGCCTTCGGCCTCTCTCTGCAGCTACAGCTGTTGACCGGTCGCCGGCGCTGAGCTGCTGTGACTCCTCTCTTGATGAGCTCTGACTCTTCTTTTCAACTTTCTTATATGGAGTACGGATACCATTATGGGGGAGTCAATCGGCCCGGTAATTGGCTTCCATTCTCCATGTTTGCTTCTTCTCCTGCCGTGACACGGCAACGCTGTTTGCATTCCAGCTATGCTTCTGCGACCTCTCGAAACTCATCACTTCTTCCCGCTAGTCACCACATCTTCGTCTTCAGTCTGACTTCCGCCTTCCACAGCGCATCAACGAACCCTTCTGTGCTGCGCCCTCGCTAGTGCTATCTCTAAACTGGGCTTGATGTCTTGCCAGAACCTTGACCTGTTGTAATTTGTAATCTTGTCTCCCCAAACGCCTGACGACGATGCTTGCTTTTGATGCCCACCGACCCTTCAGATGCGCATTCCACCCTTCCGCGAACCAGCAGCCTGTCCGTCCGTCTCTGGTATCAAATCCGGGCTGGCCTCTTGTCTCGCCAAACGGTCATGTCGTTAGAGAAAAGTCCAGCAGCGAGATGGACGCTATCTCCTTGCTGTTGCAGGTCTTATTTCAACACACGGTCGTAGCTCTGCCCTTGGACAGTGCCACCGCCCATCGCGGTCCGGACATTGCGCTTGAATCCCTCGCGGTTGAGTCTTAGATCGTCGGCAGCCTCCTTGTTCAGAGGGTCAGAGGCATTCGGTTCGAGGAACAGGAACTACGAAAAGAGGTCTGTTAGTTGGTGCCCACCCAGAATCGTGCTTTCTGCTCGTCAACATACTTGGAGTCCGACAATGACCGCGTTCAAGTTGAGAACGGGCTTCCAGTCTTCGCGCAGAATGTTCAGGCAAACCTTGCCCTCCAGATCGATATTAGGGTGGTAGATCTTCTCCTTGCATCGGACTTTTGGCGGCTCGTGAGGGAAGTTTTGGTTGATGTCGAATGTGAAGGTGAATCGTCCGGTCCGGTACATGCCCTCATCGGGCTCGATCGTAAGCGTGAAGTGGAGAATGTCGTCAGCGTCAGGGAAGTCGGTCTTCATTGTTGATCCGAGAGATAGTTCCGAGAGATCTGGAAGCGAGCGTGAGCAACGAGATCACGATTTTCTTTCCTTGGCTGGCTGAGGGGTTCAGACCTTTCTGCACTCGAAGTTGCGCGGCAGTCACCTTCTTCTTCTTGCCACCCGCAGCGTCGGCGTTTTCAGCCTTCTGCTGCTCCTTCTTCTGTAAGAGGCGTTAGTAGTCCCCTTAACCGAGAGGTTCCGGTGGTCACATACCATAGACCAAATCTTTAGCATCTTGTCCGATCTCTGGCGGGGTGTCTGGTGGGAGTAGTTGGCGGGGCGCTCTGTGAGAATGGCGAGACGGAGAACAAGGGCACGCACACGACCTGGGTGGAAGATGGTGTTTTCCTGAATCAGTCGTGTTTGCGCGGAGAACAAGCAGTCGAGCAACAAGTTAAGTATAAGGTAATCGTCTCTGTCCGGAGTCTTGCGATCTTGGGACGGGAAGGTGCCTAGAGGAGCGGACCAACTGGGCATCAGTCAATGCGGTCACTTTCTGGTTGCGATAAGATAGGTTGGGTGTATTAATTACCCGGGGATCTACCGACCTAGAACCACTCTTGTCAGCTTGCCTCAGACCCCGGTCGTTGAACAACATTGAACAACAGCAATCTGAACAAATGAAGAAATGCAAAGAAAGCCATGAAAGGACGGAAGCACTCTGGGGCTGGGGTGCTCAAAGGTCGTCGGTTTGTCAGCGTCCATGTATCATGGTCGGCCAATACCCGCGCGCTTTCATACAGCCGCCAAGTTGGCCGGAAGCTTCTATTTTACCGCTCGATTGCATGCAACAAGTCTGTGAAATCAGATGCGTTCAAAATTGTTCACTAGTCTCCAGAAATCCGTCCATGTAGATTGAGGAATCATGTTTAAAATCATTGTCATTGTCTGATACTAAGCGTAAGGTATTGTATCCATGTAAAACGCCATGAATGCTGCTTAATCGAAACTACTTTTACTGAGCTTCCGCCCACTTCATCAAGAATCTGCCGAGTCCCGTGTCCTTTATTACTCAACACATGCCCAGAATGAAAAACACCAGCGGATTCGTAGCAATGAGCCAAAGCTGGCAAGAGTACAGTCTTCCCTTTGATACACATCCAACACGCGTCAAGAGGTTCGGCGCCTGTTTGGACAATCTCCTCCGTTTGTCTGTTTACCGTCTGGCAAAGCAGCACATGATACCGGTCCTGCCCAAGAACCACAGGAATCCGAAGAAACGGACAAGTGACAAGACGGCAGTAGAGTACAGCAAGAAGCTGAAGTAAGAAGCAGTACGTGCTGATGCAGTTTTCTAGAAATGAGAGTTAGTATGGTAATGGACTCGTATTTCGGGACCTTTGAACTTACGCCAATGCCGAACGAGTTGAAGTTATCACTCGTAATGACGATGATAAGGAAGGTGTTGGAGAAGAGCCAAGACACAACCAGACCGGTACGGAAAGACTTGTACGAGTCTTCGATGTCCGGCTTCTCGTTCTCCGGAGTTTCCTTGAAAGGCTCCAGCGCGCGCTTGACCGTCGATTCGAATTGACTGTCGATATCCTCTTGCGGCTTGTCGATTTCTTCTACCACAGCTTCATCCTTCTCACCCTTGCTGACGTGTGCAGAAGGTAGAGCCTCGGTACTGTCTGAACCCTTTGTACCCCAAGACACATCGTGCCAGTTGTTGAAGGCGTAGACCATGAGAATGTTGATGTAGGTCGACATGAGCACCAGGTAGTGAGGGAAAGAGGTAAACATGTGCCAGGGGTCGAGGTACATGAAGGAAGCGATGAAGTTCAGACCGTAGATAGTGACCAAGGCGACGAGAATGACACCGGCAGCGTTCGTGCCTCCGAAGAAACTAGCAACGAAATCCTCACCGGAGTCGAGACTGATCTGCTCGCCAATAGGTTTCTGGAAGGCCTGGACAACCAAGTACATCGAAAGGACCAGGATGTAGGATTGAATGAGACCGAAGACGACGAAAGAGGCGATGTAGGTGTACTTAGAACCCTTGGGTCTGTTACCCAGAGCCAAGATGAACTGCAGAATAACGAAGGCCAGGTAGAGGTACTTAAGAAGGGCGTTAACGATAGGAGTGGCGGTGTCTCCGAAGGGCCAACCGCTGCGGGCCACATCGGGGTCGTCGGAGGTGACGGCAGTACCGACAAGATCCATGATGACCGTCGTAGTCAGGTAGTAGGAACCCAAACTGAACCATGTGAACATAACCTGGAGGATGTTGTAGATGAGCTGGACGTGGAAGAAGAACATGCGGATAATGTTATGGCCGGACTTGTACATGCGACCAAAGTGCATGAGAGAGTACAGAGAGGCAGCGAAGGAACCGTTGAGCCAACGACGACGTTGAGAGATGAACTCAGCAGCGCCCTCGGGAACGTCGGTCTCACCCTTGGCGGCCTTGATGTACGACAAGTGCCACTTCTGGCCGGCCTTGGCGACCAGCTCGAAGCAAAGAATACGATCCTCTGCCAAGAACATGTTCTTCTTGAAAATGTTCATTCCGTCGATACCCTTCTTACCAAGGATCTTGGAAAGAGTGTGGTCACCGTGGAAGTACTGCTCCAGCGGGCGACCCATGATCGCGCGGAAGCGGTAGGCGGAGAAAGCACCGGGCAACACGGAGACATATCCAAAAGAGCTCTCGAGAGGCTTATCCAAAATGTTGGAGATCTTGTACTCGAAGTTCTGGACGGCAACCAAGGGGTTGAGCAGCTTCTTGCCGCCTTTGCCCAACATGGCGTGAATCTCACCACAAGCACCACCGAGGTCCTTGTCGTTGTAGAAGCCCTCCCAAAGCGCGAGCAGCGAGCGGGGACTAGGCTTGGTACCAGCATCGATGAGAATGCAGACTTCTGGGTTCAAGATGCGGCCGAAGGCGTTGAAAAGCCATCTGTGGGAGTTGATCTTCTTGCTGTTCTTTTGCTTCAGGCAGAAAATGAACTGCACAGGCGGGAGAGTGGATGGGCCGTCGTCAACGGGGCGGATAAGCTGCTGGTTGGGCGTGACGGACAATTGAGAGGTATACTCGAAGATGTGAGCGACTGTCTCCTTTCCGTCGACATCCTTCTTCACGACACCATCCTGGTAGATACCGACGGTTGCGAGAACGTCCAACACGGCCTTGTCGGTCTTTTCGATACCGTCGAAAACCAGACAGACGACAATCTTCTGCCAAGCCGGTCCACCCTTGTTCCAGAAGGTAGACTTCTTCAGGTTGACAATGTCCCGAATATTCTGCATGACACCGTGGAGAGTTCTAGAGAGCAACACCTTGTCTTCGTTGTAGTAGGTAATTGCGATGAGGAGCTCGGTGTGTCGGTTATACATTCTCGGGCGCAAATCGTAACCATTTTTGAGGGTGAAGTCGTTGGGGTCGCAAGTGGCGGCGGTGTAGCGCATCTTCATGAACTCTTCGCTGCCGCCCTCAACATCGCGGTACTTTGGCTGGACAGCGTTCTTGATGGCACTGGGGACTGGGTAGTCGATGCTCAGGACGGAGCCCTGAGTAAGCTTGATCTTACGGGTCGCGTAACGCTTCAGACCGCCACCTTGGTTGCCGGGCTGCTGTCTGCGGGTCCAGCTCTCGTCGGCATCCACGGTGGAGGGGGGTCTGTTTCCATAGCCAAAACCACCAGCATCCGAGTCGAGCTCATTGCTGTAGCCAGACGCGAAAGCTGTCTCGCCAGGAACTGGTGTCCGAGCTCCGGCACCAGGAGCGTATGATTCTGTGAGACTGTATGCGGAGACTGGGCGGCCAGGGGTCTCGCCTGTTCCAAGGTGGCTCTCGTAGGGAGCAGGTGCGTGAGGGTCTCTCAGAAGAGATTGGCCGGCTTCGTCAACTCCCTCATCTTGAGGAGGCAGATGGTACTGGGGAAGATCCAGGTTAGCAACGGAGACTGCTTTGTGCGGTGAGCTAATGGGAGGTGAAGCTTACTCCTCTGCCAGATCCAGGCGGAAGGTCCTGCATATTGTGGCCGCCATCGTAATCGTTTTCATGCCCCCCACGGTAAGCCATGATTGCTAGAGGCGGGTTCAGGAGTAGCTGATGCTGGTATGAATGCGATGAATGATGGGAAAGGTTTTTTTCCACTGCTTCGTTGCGGACAAGATTAGGTAGGGTTGATTATATCGTCAGCCGAGGGACTCGGGCAGAGAGGCCTGGGTAGGGTTGGTTGTGTTACGCGATGAGCGCGAACAAAGGCGCTGTAGGTTAGAGAGATGTGCGGCCAAGAAAGCCACAACCCCAGTAACGATTGGTGAAGCGAAGGAGGAGAAAAAAGAGAAGGATGTAAAGATGGATGGAGGGCTAGGGGGCAGGAGGAGTAGAAGGGGAGAGGGTGGTGATGCAGGATGGGGCAGCAAATGGTTAAAAAAGGGTCCTGACGGGCTGGCGGCCTTGCTTGGTGGGAACCAGAAACCTGCAGCTAGGTGAGAGCGAGCGTGGAAGCGCCAGGTGGAGAGGATGGCTGAGGTAGTTAGGATGGATGAGAATAGCTCTAGGATTGGCCCGACTGGGCTGAGGTGGGCGAAGATGAGGATGGGGACTCGGCAGCGAGCAGACAGTTTCCTTTCCGTTGCTGCAGCAGTACGGGCAGAGAGGGAGAAGGAGACCAAATTCAAGGACACAAGGTACATGGAGATGGTGCGGCATGAGAAAAGGAGAAGTCACTTTTGCATCCCTCCCCAGCCTGTTTCCCTGAGACGAGGTACAAACGAGGAGATGAGACTTGTTGCTGCTTTCCTCCTTCCCGACTATGAATATTCGTACCTACCTACCTACCTCACCTGCCTTGGCTACGTATGTTGTGCTGTACCGAGCAGGTACTGTCGTTCGTTCCTTCTTTCTTGCTGCACCTTGAGCCAAGGCACGGTAGACACAGAAAACCAAGGTACCTTACCTACCCTGGGCTGCTCCATAGTCTGCAGCAAAGTGAAGGAATGGTACCTCGCGTCACTGTCTCTTTTTTTTTTCCTGGTCCCCTTTCATTAGCTTGCTCCATATTCTCACCTCATGTCAACAGACTGGGGAAGCTGTGGCTTAGCGCTGCTTAGCCCAGGCATCGCGTTTCTGCACGATGAACAACTGAACAACACAACCTGAGTAAAGACACCAGCACCAGCACCAGCATAGCATCATCATCCCGTCTCCCGGAGTCGGCATACCCATGGACATCCAAGGGGCCCATTGACGCAAGCAAGACCTCTCCTTGATACGGATCGAAGGGCACTCCTTACCTACTGTCTGCTCCGTATGCAGCACATCCGTCACTAATCCTCACCTCGCTTTTCGGAAACCTCAACGTCAGTGCACTATTACTGCGCAAGTGACAGACAACGGATGGACTGGCTAGGAAGGGCTGCCATCAGTCTCATCCCCAGGCCAGCGGGTGGTCCTGGTCCCAGTCGTGTGCCAGCCAGGAAAGCCAATGCCGTCGACCGTCGTTAACCCTGTCCCTCCATCTTTTTCTTCTCTCTGTCAGGTTCTTTCATGATGGATCCTAGCAACCTGGTCGGATGGTCGCGGTTGCTGTCGCTAGCCATTGCTAACCAGCCAGCAGCAGTCCAGCAAACCAAGACAACAACCGCGCCGATGCTCATCACGAGCTGGCGGCCAACCAGTCGAATCGCACTTCCAACGTCGACGTCTCCGAAGGTTGCACTCTTGAGAAAATAAAAATCGGGCCCGCATCCAACTACGTCACGTCTCCCCCCAAGTCGAAACCCCCGGCCGTTGCTCCCTTGGCCCTTGCATTTCGTATACCCCTTGGCCTTGCGCCTTCAATCGGTCCATTTGGGGTTGGGATCGACTCTAGAAACACCTCGCAATCAACGCCCATTTACTGCCAGCATTGCTCTTCAGGAGAAGGAGGGGTGCCTATGCACCTGTGCACCTATGCAACAGCAACAAAACCAGCAAAGTTGGTGACTGCCAGCAGCGAACAGAGCCGGCCAAGCACACCTGTCCTGGCTCAATGACGGACTGCCTTCAAGGGGAATGTTGCGGCGATGGATGGACGCGCCGGCAAGGAAAAGGAGAAGGTGGAAGCTAAAAGAAACGCCGTCCCCTTGCCGGCATCTGTCGTGCCACCACCAGCAATCCAGCCATCATCCTTGGTTTCCATTGGGAAGAGGAACGAGCAGTGCTGCGGGAAGGAACAGCAACGGTGGCTCATGTTCGGCAGACTTTTCGCCTCATTGTCGTTCCTCGGCCCCTCTTCCGTCTCATCATTGCTGTCAGACTCAGACTCCCGTCAGACTGCAGTACTGAGAGAGTGGAAGAGATTCAGGATATACAGGACTGCTGCAGCTACCTAGTAAGCAACTCACAGAGGAAGGACAAAAAAGCTGACGGCAGACAGGACCCAGCAAGCTGACAAGCATTCCCGAGTGTGTTCAAAGCCGGGGCTGTCAGGGGGGGTCTCATAATTCGTGGCATGACAGAAGAAAGGCATGAAATTGTAAGGCCCAGAAGCAGAGAGCTACTGCCGCTCAGTACCTCTTCCGCAGTCCCGTCAGACTCCAGAGTGGCAGGGTCTAGAGAGTCTAGACGTACTGCGTACTCATCGTATGGCGAATCCTGACTAAGGCAACAAGCATCTCAAGAAACGACATTGGCTTGTTAGTGGCGCCGCCTGTATCACCCTCCACATCTATGTGAGACGCGTGTACCTCTTAACGATCCACTTGTCGCCCGGGATCCTGTGGCTTCCAAGAACATTCTGAAACGTGCCCCCCTCGCCCTACCCAGCGCCTTGGCTTTTCCAGCTTCCGTACCAGCTGGCAGCCAAATCTCGCCAGCTCCTCTCTTACCTAGGTATCGTCATGGACAGTCGACAGGCACCGCCAGTTTATGACATGAAGAACTATTACAAGCACATGCTTGCTCGTCCCTCTCGGTGCTGCAATTTTCACACGTTAATGGCCTGGAACCTGCTGTAATCTTTTTCCTGTCATATTTCCAACCACGGCTCAAGCACCACATTCGTTCAGTCTGATGTCTCGAGCTCGCCTGTCATCGTTATGCCCTCCTTCGTTGTCTTCTCTTTTTTTCCTCTCTCGCCTGATCACAACGAAACCATTCCTACTCATTCGCCGCACTAATAGCCGCAGTAGCAACTCAAGAAAACGGGCTTCCACCCGAGGTTTACGCTGTGGGCATACGTACCCCCAACCAGATCAGAGATTCGTTATTTCGACTTTCTGTCGCCTGCGTGCAAGTTGTTTGTTGTTGCCTCTGGCCAGTTCGGATACGGGGATCCGTCAGGAGGAGACCCAAAAATAGTAAGATTGGGCTGGGGCTGATCGACTGGGGCTGAGGCGGTGCACCCACCACGCCTCGCATCGCTGCATAACACATTTGGCGGTGGACGGGATGAATGCACTCTTCCACTGTTGTCACAAAGGAATTTGCCCCGAGCCCAGTGAGCCGCTGCTTACGCCTCGCTACGAGTCAAAATCAAATACCTGCTGTTGGGCGGAGTATGGGATCTACTACTCAGCACGCTTGCGGCCAGTTCCGAACCTCAGCCATCATCAGCCTCAGTGGCCACACGAACCCTTTGCACAAGGACTGCACACGTGCAACAGAGTATCTGTACTACTCTGCATTACACAGACGGAGGGATCCAACAATGTCGACGACCTCTCTGCCCTACGCGCCTATCAGTCGGCTCTACGCTCGTTTATTTGCACTGCTTGGAGGGGCGGCAACCGGGCCCTCTCCACCTCACACGGGGTTTTGAACCTTCAACCTTCTGGCTTGGACAGCGAACCAACATCCACGACCCGTATTCAGTTCAGCCACTCTCCCAGGTTTCCCAGCTGTGGACATGAGATGACGCTTTTCAGCCTCAGGAACCATGGCGAAAGAAGTCGCAATCGTATTCGCCTTCAGCCTTCAATTACTTCATTCCGCCCATCAAATGCTCGGACGAAAAGAACCAGGTATTGGCTCCTGGATGAGCGATGCTTCAGTGCCGTGACTCCGAATCCCGGCTCCGTTTACAGCCCTCTCCGGCGCGCCAACGCATTCTTCCAGCGCGGGTGTCCCGACTGCATGGTCGGCGAGCCCGTCTCTGCGGCGAGGCTGGGGCATTCACCGCTGCGGCGCTGGTTGGTCGAACGATACCGTCAGCCGTCGGCTATTCCAACGACTGGTAACCAGCGATTTCACACCGTCTTTCACTTTCCCCTGAGACCTCCACTGCAGCGCACTTTTGCGTTACAGATGGGGTACTATTTGTGAGTGCGATCGACGGGCTGGGGTAAAGGGGCCTCCCGCAACTCAATGCTATGACCGCCAGGCGAAAAGTTTGCCGATGTCATCGAAGCCTTGCCAGCCCAGGAAAGCCACAGATGGCAGGCCTCGGAAGCTTGTTTTCGCTCAATGAGCAATCAGGGTACCACCTTGCCCGGCATGTGGAGGGCTTATCGGGACTGGACTATAAAAAGCCCGAGTGAATGCGTAGGTCATGGTTCGGAGGCGAAGCCGAGCCTCAAGTGACGTGTCTCGGTGGCAGAAGGAGATCATGTATCAGACTGCGAATGGCTCTTGGTCCCAACATCGGATGGAGGCCATCCATAGAGATTCTGAACGTGAGGCGCGGGGTGCGTTGAGCTCGGCCATGACAACATCCCCATTTCCTGACTCGCGTACGCTTTGCCTCGGTATTGCAAGAATACAAGTATGCAAGGTCCCTCATGCGCTTGGTGGCAGCTCATCCGCGGAAAGAGAACATCGGATCGAATATTCGGCCATTAATGGTTTTGGGTTTTTTTCCAAACCGGTTCCTGGGTTAGGCAGGTATGAACCTTCCAGTGCTGAAGATGACGCTGAGCTCCTGATACCGTTGCGGAAGTACACAACGTAGACCAAATCGGAGGCTCTGGGGACTGGGCTGAGTAGCATGGTGGTGCACAACACAGGCAGCCATTTTCTGCCAGTCCTACGTATCTATATTCATTTCTCAATGGGGTAGAAAAGAACTGACTAGGCGATGGCATCTACTTTCTTTTCCAAGCTTATTTTAAGGCGTTAGGGGGGAACAGGGCCAACTTACCATATTGAGGTGGTGTTTGCAGCAAATGAACCTACTAACTGACATCATGCGGCTCGCGCCGGGGGGCTGCTTGCTTCCTGACGTTTTGCTGGTCAGAGAGAGAGCACTGGACAGTAAAAAGATGTCGGAGCCTCGGGAAGTATGAAGTCAATTCGTGTTGCTGACACAAATAAGCCTAACAGTGGTTCGTCCGGTTTTTCTGCAACAATTATGTCTCTGAATCTTTGAACACCTTCCTTCTTGGGTTTCCGCGAGTGGTCCACCAATGTTTCTGATGCGAAGCAAAAAAGAAAAGAAAAAAAAGTCTGAACTGTTCGCTCTCTTACGAGTATGATTTCTGAGCTCGTGATGTCACTTTTAATGTTGTTCTTCTTTGGCTTTAGAGTTTCCGCCGTGGTTATGACGGTGGTGCATTGGACGATAAAGGGCCAAGACTTTTGATATGACATATTTGTCCGCCGGGAATTGTCCCATGGGTGATCATATTTGACATGAACTATCACACGTTTTGTGCGGGGAGAGGCGCAGGATCGGATCAGATCGGATCCCCCAGACTAGATTGGTGAGATCTGACATGTTATTAACGATTGACCGGGGTTTTATAGGGTCTGGAGAACCAGGAGGAGAGAGAAAAGGTCCGGTCTTTTCCAACGGTGTCTCATTGTGGAGAAGATCAGTTCTTTGATAGGACGTCAACAAGGGCGACTAGGGAGAGCCGGAGAAGCTAGCTCTTCATTCAGTTGTTCTCGAGCAAGAAGGGCAAGGAACTGGGCTTGCGGGTCTGTTGACTTCTCTGGGATGAGGCTTTCTTCGTCACAGGGGCCCGTCGTGGAAGAAAAGGTGTTGAGATTCTGGCTGGTCTCGGGAGAGTCGAGCTTGAGATAGGAATGCCCTGCCTGGCTCCGCTTCACGGAGGGGGATTACGTTTCTATAAGATGGGGTTCTCGATTGGCAGCTCTTTGGATTGTGGTTCAGCTTGAGTCGGTGAGGACAGAGCATGCTCAACCTTCTCGGGATAGTCGTTTACTATCGTCGAGCTAATGCCTACGTGTCAAAATACTTACTACCGTCGTCGAGCTATGGTTCTATCAACAAAGGCAGCAAAGTTAGTCGGGGGTGATAGACGAGCGGCCCACGCTACCGTATCCTGAAACTTCGAATAGTCAAGAAGTGTCAGACGAAGGATAGAGCGGTAATACGTATCTCTGACAAGGGAGAATCCATTTGCCATCAGTTCTCAGAGACACGTGAGAAGTTGAGGTTAAGAACCGTCATATCTATACTTATTAGGTACATTACGAGATTGTACCCAAATGGGGGTTACCCTCTGTCGAGCTATCATAGAAGCAGGCGAGAGTCTCGGCCAGGGGGTACATTCATCTCTGTTACGACGGAATGTATACTGCGTTTTTCGAGGTTTTCTGATCTCCCCGTCCCTGCAATCTTTGGCGGGTTACTTTTGTCATGGTAGGGTTATGCCTCAATCCATAGCCATCCCCTCGGCATCCGTAACCATGTCATCACCCCTCTTGTTTGAAGAAAGGAATGAGACTACGCTGCGTCTTGTGGCCGATTTTGTCGGCGTACGATATGGCCCGGAACTCCATCAACATCCCCCCTTCCCTTCAGGAACTGAACGAGGCGATAGACGAGCGCGGAGGTCTAACAGATGTAGCTATCAACTGTCAATTCTCGCGGCTACGATTTATAGTTTCCACCTTCCATATTTAGATTTTCCTTCGTTGTATAATGGCATATACATCTTCTGTATCTAGATTCGTTGTGCCGAGCGTGGACGAGGCTGCGCATCTAAATACCACGATGCTGTCAGACAAAGATCACCGACAAGTGCCACAGTACGCCTCGGTATTAGTCTCTGAGACTCTTGGAGGAAACCTACTTGAACTTTTGCTTACTTGGAAGCACGCACGGGTCTACATCTCGCTGGCATGAGGCTACGGCATGTCCTAGATAGAGCACGGAGATGGGACGCGGGACTCGGGGACTGCGCTGTGAAGTACGTCTAGAAAGCGGCGATTAACCGTTTGCCTACAAATAATTCAGGAGGCGAAAACACCCTTTCAACCGTCCTCATCCGTTCATAGCTACATTTCCCCATGTATTCCTATATCCTGCGTAGATGCTATGTGCACCTATGCCCACTAGTATCTCGAGGGGAAAAGAAAGCTGTCGACCGAATCCTATCGACCGACAATGTACCTTCTCAAGACCTACGGGAAGAAAAAGAGTTCAACCCTCCCCCCCCCCCCTCCCCCCGGTGGCGAATGGGGACTACATTTATGGCGCACATGCTGGGATATTCGGACGTGAGCTCGGGACCTCTTAGCCTTCAGCGATTAGGCTGTTGCGTGGACTCGAGCCCCTCCACCACCCAGCCAATTTTGACCTCACCCTCAAGGGGGCGCCTGCTATCTGGTGATTGGAATGGAGTTGAGGGGGACCTATATGAGTAGGTATTGGGACTGGGGCTTTCCGGTGTATT